CCTTCTCTGTTTGAATTTGGTTATAGAATAGATTTTTTTCGCTGAACTGTTTACAAGTAGTTGTTACAATTTTGAAATTAGTATCAACAATTTATCCATGTCGGATGTGCGAAACAATATTCAATTATTTTATAAAATAATTTAGGTACATTTCAGATTCATTTAACATATGCACAAAGCACTGATAATATAAATTATTTCAAATCAAAGAACTCTATAATACTATAAAAATCCCTTTGTATAAGCCGTTTCTTTAATACTGTTTTAAATATTTTTCTATCCAACTTTTTTATGTCTACAGTTAAGTGATGGTATACACATATTGCGGTCACATAAGTACTCTTATGATAAATTACATTATTGATACATGGTACATTCAGATTGTATTTTTATTTAGTTTGAATAATTGTTTTTGAAGACGACATTAATCAAAATATTCCAAATTATTTCTACAAAAGTGGTAAAATTAAAAAGTTTGTAAAACTCATTTCAATATAAATTATTAATGATAACTCAAAAACTACTGGTCAGACCTTAATCAAATTTATATGGGACTAAATGAGAAGCATCAGCTTTCAAATAAAAAAAAGAATAATTGAAATCGGTTTACCAAGAAAAAAGTTATGAGGTAAGACACATAAAAAAAACATACAGTTGAATTGAATACCTCCTACTTTTTGAAGTTGGTAGAAAAAGGCAAAATTCTAGAATGTAGATACTTGTTAGAGGGAGAAAACCTTTATCATTAAATATGCTTCACAAAAACTCAGTAGTTTGCAAATTGTATAATGTTGCAGATGTTAATGGGCTTCAGAGCCACTTATCAGCAAATGGATTGTAAGTTTGTAATATATAACGGCCACTGTATATATAATATGTTAGCAAAACTTAATATGAGTTCAATTAACAAAAATCATTGATGGAATGAATGTTGAAGAAATTTATTTATTTATTTTTCTATGATGGCGAAGTACTATGATATATTTGGTAAATGTAATATAGCTCTTTAGTGATAGTCTGGGTTCCTTAAAAAAGAAAATATTTCTATACTAAACTCAAACTGAAAATTAAAATTTTAAATTATCAATATTAAGCTCTCTACCAAATTATAATCTTACCTATATTGCATAGAATAGTGTCTTTGTGTTTATATCATATTTTATTATCTGTTAATTTCATAACTAATTTTAAGTTTCATGTTGTAATGTTGTGCATACATTTAAGTTAAATACATATATAGTATAATTTGGTTAATAACTGCAAATGTTTAATAATAATTTTTTGTATGTGTTTAGTTGGTAATCCTAAATAAATAAATCTGTTGTTGAAAACTAACGGACATTAAGTAACACTAATCTGTTATTCTGCTGTATGTAACAGCTAAACCATATTAAAGTTAAAAGTTAAAGTTACAGCCACCAGATCTGGTTTTAGGCGTAGGAAATGTCCACAGCTCTGACCCAATGCATGTTGGTGAACTTAACATGTCTTTGAACTAAATACGTTTTCTTATTACTCAGACATGCAGGTCTCCTCGCAATGTTTTCTTTCACCACCGAGAATATGGTAAATCAGCTTTTAAAATGGCAATTAGCAATTTCATTGGTGTCGGCTGTGTTTGAAAACGGATTGTTCGTGTACTGTGAAATTTACTACCCGTCTCCTTTAAACCGTAATGCCATATTAGAATTTAAAAAAGCACTAAATTATCTGCCAGGTGCTAAAATTATGGCAGCTAAAATTATGAATAGAATAAGTCATTTATTGTCCTTTTTTTATAGGGTGACAAACGAGCACACAGTCCACCTGATGGTAAGTGGTTACTGTGACCCATAGACATTTACATCTATCCTCAATAAAGACTCAAGATGCAGATGTGTTGTCACCTGTGAGGACTAAGATGGAATGAATGTGCTAGTTGTAGGTTTGAGAGATTTAACATTATACAAGTAATTAAGTATCACCACAACCTGCCTAGATTAAGGCTTACAATATTATTTAAATCATGGAACATATCATTATTCATTAAATCAAATCAAATAACATATGGCTAGTAGTATGACATATTAGGAAATAAATAGAAGCGACAGTAGCCTAATGGCAGAGTGTGGACCGCTTAACCCAAAAAGTTGTGGGTTCAAATCTGCTATTCTCTATTGTTGTGAACCACATCTAACACAAGCATTTTAAGCTTACCAGGAGTGATTGACAAAATATTAGTAATGTTTAATAGAATTCCATTTTTTTTAAATATATATATAAAGGTACTTTTTGCCTCCTCTTTCAAACAGTAGCATCAAAAGTCCACTGCTAAACACAGGCCTCCCTCATAGATTGTATCATAAGGGGATATTTGCCATAGTTATTATATTTTACAGGTGGAATTGCAACTGCAGTTTTTTGTTGTTATTAGGAAGAAACTGCTGCCTATGTCCTGTTTTTTTTTATCGAATAAAGATAGCAAATGAGCACACAGTCCACCTGATGGTAAGTGGTTGATGTGGCCCATAAACATTTACATGTATCTTCATTTGCAAATTAAAATGCAGATGCGTTGTCAGCCGTGAGGACTAAGATTGAATGCCTCTTTTCCAGTAAAAAGGGTCTCAGGTTCTTTACACTCACCATACAAAACTCAAAATGATAATGCCTGTGTCATCTTTTAACAATACTCCCAGGATGATTTTTTTTTCTTTAAAGAATAAGTGTATAGACAAAATACACAGTCTCTGTGATGGTAAGTGGATGCTGTGGCCCATAGACATCTGCCTCGATTAAGAATCAGTATGCAGATGCGTTGTCATCACTAAGGACTAAGATGGAATGCCTTGTTTTCAGTAAAATGGGTCTCCGGTTTTCTACACTCACTATACGAAACAGCAGCATTAGGTTCTTATTTTACACTGGTATTCGGTGAGAGCATGGTTATTCATACTTAAACTGTAATATAGCTGCAGTGTGGCTCTACCACATATAAAACAATATGGGATAGTGTATATTCTTACACTGCCACTACAAGGTTAATTATATTTATACCTTTTATAGTTAGTAAATAACAAATTATTATTGAGTGTACAAATAAAAAGAAAAGATATTTTATTATCAATCAGGTTGGGAGATTTAATAAGTAAAAATTAAGCATAAAATTATAACAGTGTCATTTTTAACCGACTTGAAAAAGGAGATTGTTCACATTTTAATGTATGTTTCTTTCGTATGTAATATATTGAGACCCGATTTTCAAGATTCTTTTTTCATTAAATAGGTTATTATATTTCAGGGGTCGTCCCGTATAAATTTGGAGGAAATATTCCAGCCCTAAGGGTGTCAAAAAACTTCTAAATAACTTTCTTTGAAGTCAGCGTTTACTTTTGTTTACTTCAGTTAAGCCATTTTAGCGACTTTTAGCGAGATTAACAGACATCGATTGATTTTTATATATAGAGAAGATTATTCAAATAGACAGCTCCGTGGCGCAATGGCTTAGCAATTGAGTTGCAGCCCTAAGGGCCGCGGGTTCGAATACTGCACGGAACAAGTATTTGTATAGCCTACAAATAATTGTTTCAGGTCTGGAATGTTTGTCCTTGTGCAATTTATGTTTGTCAACGGCCCCCATGATATAGGAGAAAATCGTAGTGTGGAGGTTATGTTTTACAACAATAATATATAACATAAATTTGTTTGCCAATTATTTTTAAAAATTTGATTTACTTGGTGATTTCCTTTCATAATCACAGTTTTCCTATTTTTTTGCAACTAACAGCACTACACTACACTACACGCAATCTATTAGCTTAACATTTTTAAAACATCTCAATAAATTTTTTACTATATAATATATTTTATTAATTTTTTACATGTGGTAGAGCCATGCTGCAGCTATATTAGTAGTTTAGTTGTAGCACGAATGGGTCGGCTCGACCGGGGAAGGACCACACTCTCACTGTATACCAGCGTAAAATAGCAGCTTAACACTGCTGTGTTTCGTATGGTGAGTGTAGAGAACCGAGACCCGTTTTACTGGAAAACTGGCATTCCATCTTAGTCCTCACGGGTGACAATGCATCTGCATTTAGATTTGCAAATGAGGATAAATGTAGATGTTTATGGGCCACAGCAACCACTTACCATTAGGTGGACTGTGTGCTCGTTTGAACGCTATCCTATATAAAAAAGAAATTAAAACATATCAATAACTTAAATTAAAATTGTCTATATAATAAAAAATTTAATATTTTAAATAATTCTAATATAATGTTCATTACACTTAATTTCCATAATAATTCAGTAGAACATACAACATAGGACAACTCCGTTTATACACTACTGTTTTTTATCATTTTTTTTTCTATAACTTTGTGCGTTGCACCCGTATGATTTGTGTCACTTAATGTCAGGAATTTACCGTTTGGCAATATATTTGTCTTGATATGTGGCTGATTATTTTTTAGCAAAGATTAGTAGCAATATTTGACCTAAGTCATTTGTCATGTTTAGTTTCCTATTATTTAAAATATATAAATACTTATATTGTAATACTTTTATAAAACCAGCAAAAAGGTAGATGTAAGTTGTCCAGCAACCAACTCTTGACCGAATTTTAATTTTCTTTTACAGAATACTTATATTTTGATATTGACAAGTAAGCATATAAGAGGTAAAGGTAAGGGTTAAGATTTGTTCCTTGTGTTAAGATTTGGTCTTTGTTCCTTGGTGGTTTCCTTGAGTAATACTTTGGATACCAGGTATTCTAGCAGTTTTGCTGTTGTCACACTAAATAATACCAAGCACCGTGAGATTCAGCGGACAGGGTGAAGAGGCATTATTAATTTCATAGAGTGTCAATTATATAATGGTTGAGGTACATATGAATCGACTAGACTGCGGAATGGCCATTCCAGGCCAGTGAGGCATTCTATCTTAGTCCTCAGGCATGACAACGCATCTGACCATCAGATGGGATTACTAATTTATAATATCTTTGTATTTATATCAATATGTTCTCTATTGCAGTACCTTCATCGACATCATCATCATCATCAGAAATTAATAGTGATGAGCAGACCACTGAGCCAGCAACAACAGCTTCAGCCACTCATCAATGTAAGTTTCTAAAATCTTGACATATTAGGTCTTTAGCTGGCCACTCACATGCCTGTCGCAGGGGAAATTTAAGGTGTAGAGGTCAGGAAACCCTGGAATCTTGACTTATTAGGTATTATGCCAGCTATTCACACACCTGTTGATCGCTCCGTGGCGCAGTGGCTTAGCAATGAGTTGTTGCGCTAGGGGCCGCGGTTTCGGATCCCACACGGTACAAGTATTTGTATGGCCTACAAATAATTGTTCCGGGTCTGGATGTTTGTCCTCGTGCAGTCTATGTTTGTAAACTGCCTCTACGATACAAGAGAAAATCCTAGTGTGGGGGTAACGTTTTTTTAAAGAAGAAGGGGCATTTTATAGTGTAGAGGTGGGGATAACCCTTAATTGCCTCCTTAATTGTGATATGTATAAGCACTTTTGACTGCCTTGTTGGTGGGTCATATGGTCCTGGGTTGGGTCAAGATGAGTTATTGAGTTTTTCAGTCAAGGCATTCTCAGTAGCAGCCTGGATTCAGGAAATTGGCGGTGCTTCGGAATGCACATAAAGCTGTTGGTCCTGTGCTGCAGGCTATGGTCGTGTCGCACTTGTGCTTGCGCCCGCACATACTCGAGCACTATAATATATTAATAAAGGAAAAGATCCGAATATGGAATACTTAAACAAATTGAAAAAAAAAAATGTTTTAAAGTTTTATTTTAATCAGTGTCATTGATTAGAATTAAATGTAGTCATTATCACTCTCTAAAAATAATATTTAAATCGGTAAATCATAAACACTTTCCGTAATATTATTAACTAAAATAAATCAACAAAAAAATATGCTTCTCAAAAATGTGACCCTATTATGGAATAGGGTATTCCATAATAGGGTCACGTCACGTTAATCAAAAGAAAATAATAAAATTAACCCTGCAAACTAAACCCTTGGGTGTCTTCGATTGAACAATGCAAGTCCAGTCTCGTCGACGTTGTAGATCCTAGTTGGTGGAAATTTAAAAAGCTTAAATTTCGTGTCCAGTAAATCGAAAAAGAATATAACATTTTCTTTCATGAAACCTTTAACCCGAGCAAATGATGTACCAGTAGGTTGGACAGAAGAAAGTACTTTATGCCTCGAAAAAAACCCTTTTAACCATTTACGTCCAGCTGATATGCCATTCTCTTCACATCATTTCGCGTAAGCCCAAAATACCGTTTTTTTTTTTCATTTGCTTGACAATCTTTACTCGTACTAACATAATATGTTCAATGTCAGGTCCCAAAACTGTTTTACGACCAAGGCGGTAGTCAATATTTCTATATTTGTTTCATATCATGACAGAACCGAAAGAGGGTAGTCCGAGGTACATTAAAAACCTGTGCAGCTTTCTTATAACCCATTTTTTTTGGTTTTCACGGCTTTAATAGCATTTTTCATACTGGTGGGGTCAGTTTGATCATTATTAAGAGGCGAAGCTTGCGAAGTCACTTATTGATTTCACGATGTCTGTCCGTCTGTCCGTCTGTCCGACTGTCCGTCTGTCCGTCTGTCCCACGATTATCTCGAGAACGGTTTTGAATTTTCAAATTCTGTTTTCAGAAATCGATTACGGATCACCCAGGCATCTGAACCTCCTATTTTGAAACTGATTGCTCAACGGCGCAACCGTTAGAAACCGCTACAAAGCTGATTGCTTCGCCACTTTGTTATGCTGTTAGCTTGCTTGGTTTATTATATCTGTAAAAGAGAGAAATAGTAACCAGACACCATATTAAAAACTTGCTTTCGTTGAGGTTTTTATATAGAATACTATTCCATATTACGAACAATATGATGGCGAGAGGAAAATAAATGTAACTTTTTAATATTTTTAAAAATTCGTAAAATAACAATACTATTAAAAAACTACATACTTTGTTCAAATACTTATCAACTTATTTTGAGATATTCATGTACGACAATAAGAGAATACATACGTAAAACTTATCTAAATATCCGATTGATGTTGCGCCAACAGTGTCGCGCACTCTCATTTGCGTGTATTGCTGCCGAACGCCGCACGCACCCTGGTCGTTGAACGTGGGTAGCGGGAGGAGTAACATGGCACAAGTTTGTAATATTTGTGGTGCTTAATTTTAGAAATATTACGGTATTCCATATTAGGGACGTATTCCATAATTGGTACCTTTCCTCTACATGCTGCAGCTATATTAGTAGTATAGTTGTAGCACGAATGGGTCGGCTCGACCGGGGAAGGACCACGCTCTCACAGAATACCAGCGTAAAATGGCAGCTTAACACTGCTGTGTTTCGTATGGTGAGTGCAGAGAACCGGAGACCCTTTTTACTTGGTAAGAGGCATTCCATCTTAGTCCTCACGGGTGATAGAGCATCTGCATTTTGATTCGAAAACGAGGATAAATGTAGATGTCTATGGGTCACAGCAACCACTTAATATCAGGTGGACTGTGTGCTCGTTTGTCACCCTATCCTATTAAAAAAAAAAAACTATAATCCTGCCCTGTGCAGATGACTAGTCTCCGTTGAGACGGGTACCGAAATTCGATCTAAAGGACATTATTATTATAAGCAGGCAGGAATAATTTCCTGACTCTTTCCCTAAGCACGCAAAGCTCCAGACTTTCCTACCTCTCCTAGTTCAGCCCCTATCGCCTCGCCACGATTTACGTGTATAGTGTGATTTGGGAAATTTCTTCGTCGGTTGGTTTTGTACTGCCATGCGGAGTGGGCCTATTTTGTGAGTGGAGTATTTTTGTGTTGTTCATTATCTGTAGCAGCTTCTTTCTGATAACTCAAAATAATTAAAAATTGTGGTTGCCAGCCCACCTGCATAGCGTAGTAATCTATGCGGGAGGCCTAAGCTGCAGTGGACTTTGTATACAAAGATGAACCTGTTCTTCGCCCACTGCTTTCTTTTTTATGTTAGCACTACGGAAACTATTAAGGCTATGCCTAGTTTTTGATTTTTAATTGGGTTGGCGCCATTTTATCGATTCAAACGACATGTTTATCCCGCAACACCTTCACTCTCACACTGAACTCGTCTGCAACGTGTGTAGGGAAGCCTGTGCTCCTTCTAAATGTTTGCATACTTAATTGTATAAATTGACGACTGTGTGGCGCAGGGGCTTAGCTGTATTGCGGCATCGAGTGCACCACTGTGAGTTGCGGTTTCTGATCCTACACAGAAAAAGTATTTGTATGGGTTTACTAGGTCTGGATTTTTATCCTTGTGAAACTTATGTATGTAAATTGCCCCCACGATATAGGAGAAAATCCTAGTGTGGAGGTAACATTATATTTAAAAAAAGAAAGATTCTTGCTGGTTCTTCCCAGGACAGAGGTTCTTGCCGAACCAGTGGCAAAGCTTAAATGACTTTCAATAAGTGTTGTTGTAATCTATATTGAATACAAGTGGTAAATTTAAAATTTTGTACAAACAACTTCAATATGAATATAATTTATATAAAATTTAAATAGGACTACCTGATAGGTATACCCTTTGAAACAAAAAAAAAATGAATTTTCCAAATTGGTTCAGGCGTCTTTGAGTAATTGGTGAACATACAGAAACAACGATTCCGACGAATTGAGAAACTCCCCCTTTTTTGAAGTTGTTTGAAAAATTATTCTATTCCATTCCTAGATTGTCCCGTTCGCCCTGCACGCTAGACCGCTCCTGTGGAGTGTGAGTAGCCAGTCTTACATATTGTAATTATAAACTATATTTGTTATTTTATTTTTCAGCTACACCTGCCTCTGAAAAAGAAATGACCTATTCAAGCAAGCCAGAAAAAATGTTGATGGAGCCGGGCGTTAACCAAGTTCTTATAGACCACTTAAAAAAAGAAGTTGAGCAGTTGACCGAAAACGAAAAATATTGCGCCCTGTTGTTTGATGAAATGACTGTAGAAAGACATGTAGATTACGATCCCGTTGCAGATATAATAGACGGTTTTGAAGATTTAGGTGACTATGGTGGCCGATCTCGAGGTATCGCCGACCACGTTCTTGTATTTATGCTGCAAGGTATCTATAAGAACATTGAAGAGCCTATAGCTTACTATTTCACTTGTGGGCCGATTTCATCAGAACATTTAGCTAATTTAATAAATGTCATTATTAAAACTGTTCATTCAATTGGATATCAAGTTATCACTACAGTTTGTGATCACAGTGTCCGAAATGTAGGTGCATTAAAATTACTTAAAAAGAGAAGTGACCTTCCTCCAAATCAAAATTATTTTTTGCTTAACCAAGATAAAATATATATCGTTTACGACGTACCGCATCTTTTTAAATCCATCAGGAACAACTTCCTCAAGACTGGAGTTATGATGTTGAGTAACAAAAGAGCTCAGTGGTATCATTTAGTTCAGGTCGAACAAAGAAATCGAATCAAACGTCTGGGGTATACAAAAATAACAAAAATGCACATTGCTCCTAACAATCAAGCTAAAATGAGGGTAGAAATAGCCGCTCAAATTCTGAGCAACACGGCAGCTGGTATTTTAAAAATGATATCTGAGGATGTTGAAGAAGAACAAGGAAATGCTTTATTACAGACTGCTGAAGTTATTAAAGAACTTGATCAACTGTTTGACTGTACCAACGGACCGGGTGAAAATGATGTGGACAAAGATATAAGGTCACATGTTCACAGAAACAGTTCCCACCACCAACTTTGGCCAAAGTACAAAGAAATACTAAATACCGTAGTCTTTTCAGAACTTGACCATGATGTAAAATTAAAATTTCGATGTATTAACAGCTACATTATTACATTAAAATCCTTAGAATGTATCTGGGAGTATGTTGCCTCAAAAGGATGTGACTATCTTAATTTGAGACGACTGAATCTAGACGCGCTTGAAAACTTATTTGAAATGATAAGACAACATAATCCAACAGAGGGAAATCAAACATGTCATAAATTCAAGAAAGCATTAAAATCCATAGTAATGACTCGTCTCGGCATTCCGTTTAGTGAAGAGCCCGATGAAATGGACGAATTATTATCTGATTTTGAAGATTATATGCGTTCATTTCGATAAGACAAGAAGTTGATAGTTCTGTGTTAGCTTCTTAAAAAGTACCGAAATTCCAGAACTTCAGAATTCCAGAGAATACTTAGAAAAAATCATCAATCAGAAATATGTAAAACAACCGACTGTTTGCGTAAGCGGTTAATTAGCTTATGCTGTCGAAAACACTATGTGCCAAAAACACAAAGCTGCTGAGTAAGAACAGCTCTGCTTATTGTCATCAGGAAGCTGTTCCTCAAGAACTACAGGATTTGATTAGTCATCAATTAGACGAAAGGCTTCATACAATTGGTGATCAGTTGAAAACAGCAACGAAGAAATAGAAGAAGTTGCATTTAATTCTGAAACATTTAAGACTGACTCAAAAGCAACAACTCAGGCACGCTGCGGAAAATCTAAAATTTATAATCAGAATACATTAATCTAGGTTTGGCTAGCGCCATTACTAGGCGAATTTGATTTGCCATGTTTTGACGGCACTTCATCGTGGGTAACAATTTCTGCAGAATTATTGGCATTAATCTTACTATAAGGAACTAAACCCAAGGAAAGAGAGGTTAAGAGTTCTGTTGGAAGCCAGATATGGTATGGTGATTAAAAAACATGAGCAAACTCGAAAAGCTGAGTTTCGATATTGCATTCAAACATTTACAGAAACACTCTAAAATTAAAAACCGAGATGGCTCGTCGTGCGCCTATACATCAGCAACGTTTGCTGAGCTTCTACTTCAGGCTTCATTGACAGCGTTTGGGAGGTCATCACCAATCTTTAGAGAGCATATACACTAGAGGTGGCCGTGCAACGCGAAGTAATATCATTCAAGTTAAAAAAAAAACAACGAAGAAATTTACACATGGTAGTCATCTTGCAGCTATATTATGGTTGCACAAATGGGTCAGCTCGACCGGAGAAGGACTAGGCTCTCACAGAATATCAGTGTCAAATAACAGCTTAATGATGTTGTGTTTCGTCGTATGGTGAGCGTAGTGAACCAGAGAGCCTTTTTATTGGATACGAGGTATCCCATCTTAGTTCTCAGGGGTGACGACGCATCTACATTTTGATTCTTTCACTTCCATCGGTTGAAGCTCCCTTAACCCTTATGGCGGGAAGTGCTCTTCAAACTAGGTAAGACACATCATTATATTTTATTATATGGATCGTAGGTAATTATTTTCAACATCTTTATTATAATGAATTTCCGCAAATTAATGCCTGATTATATATCTCAAAAGTTATATGTTGTAAGTTGTTGGCAAATAGATTATTAACTGACTGAAATAATTTATAAAAGTGAAACAATTACTGTTTTATTCATACAACTGTAATTTTAAATTTGTTTGTTTTATTTTTGGAAGTAAAGACTAGAAATGAGTTGGTTTATTTTTGACTTATAGCGCTTAGTGCGAATATGCAGAATGTCAGCAAAGTGATGATGGTAACCTGCAGTATGTGTTGTTTAATTTACAATAATGCATTCTATTCTATTATATTCTATGCTAGGGCTGAATCTGAATGACAGGGTGAGAAATAGTGTGATAAGAGAAAAGTGTGGTTTGCAAGATGAAGTTGTGACCAGGATTAAAAAAGGAATGCTTCGGTGGTTTGGTCATGTAGAAAGAATGAACGAGGAAAGAGTGACAAAGTAAATTTATGTTGCAGAAGTGAACGGCAGGGTCGGGAAGGGGCGCCCTAGACGAAGGTTTATCGACCAAATCGGCGATACATTAAAAATCGGCCAGATTAGGAGTACCCTTAACCGACGAGCGTGTATGCGTAGATATATGGATGTAAAGGAGGCGAGAGAGGTGTGTCAGGATCGCGCCAAATGGAAGTCTCTGCCTACCCCTCTGGGTGACAGGCGTGAATGTTTGTTGTATAATAAAAATGAATATCTCTTTCATAGCCGTCTTTTAAAATTTTCCTTGTGTTCTACACCACTTTGGCCGTCATTCTGTGACATGGGCGCATGCTTCCTTCAGCAAACCTTCCATCTTCACCATGTAAGGTGGCATTGTGTTTTGTCATGCTGCATAGTCTGTAAAAGCATAATATATTTTTATTCCTTGCGTGTTTATTTAAATAATAGTGGATTTAACATGTTTGCATTTAGAATCTTTCTTATAATATACTTTGCGTTATATAGGCAGTAGTATGGAGGTAGCTTTATGCCCGTTCTTTTCAGCTAATTTATCAACAACGCATAAAGGTTTAACCGGTTTTTGTGTAGCGTATCACACGCGAGTCGTGTCTTTTTACAAATCGTTATTACTCGCTCAAATTGCGTTTTTGGAAGATTTATCCAGAACAAAATATTATTTTGCAAGTGGTTCATGCCTACAGCTTCGTTTCTGGATATTTTGAAATTTTGAAATTTTTAGGCGTTGACAACCTTTTTTTAACTTGTACATGGTACTCTTTTTACTTTGTGGGTTTTAAATCATGTTGTGGAAAAATAGTCTAAGTAACAAATAATAGCACTCATTGCGATCGCTCACAAACTCAAGTTATAAATAAATTTCTGGAAAACAAGTCTCCTGTTCAAAAACAATGCGTTTGTCTTATTGTTTAATTTTGCTTAAAATGGTTGTTCTGCCGTCTTATTACTATCATATGGCATATCGAATAGACCTACGAAGTACCATGTGCTCTTGTGATATGGTATAAGGTTTATTTTTGCTTGAAACAGTTCGAAGCCGTTCATGCATAAAAAAGTTCGCTAATAAATAGTCTTTTGTCAATCCGCCCCGTATAGCGCCGGAGTTTTTTTTCCTTTTGAAAACTTGCTATTCTTATTAATTAGACGTTTTTAGATCAATTTTACTTTTACATTTGTGTAACATTAAATAATATTTCACATTTGTAAATATCAATGAATCATAAACCTTATTTTTTCCGTAATTAAGGTTCTTGGAAATGAGGTGATCGCTACCAAGCTATTTCTAATTTGTTGTGTTGTTAATTTGTGTAACATCATGATTGTAAGCTGTTATTTAAAAAAAAGTCCCGCTGGGTTTCTTGCTGGTTCTTCCCAGGACAGAGGTTTTTTCCGAACCAGTGGTAATCAAACAAAAGAGTGACTTTCAATAAGTATTATTTGTAATCTATATTGAATAAAAAAGTTTCTGTTTCTTGATTGTTTGATATTTACAAATGTTATTATTACGAGGGCGGCACTGAAAATTTCGGGAATCAAGGAAGTGACACAACATTACTATTTAAAAATGTATTTATTGCTTTTCGAAGTATTCTCCGCGAAATTTGACACATTTTTCCATACGATGGAACCAATCATTGATGCAAACATTCCATTCGGAAGTTGGGTTCTCCAAAATGGCCGTTTTGTAGGCGTCCACAGCTTCTTCAAGTGATGAAAATCTCTGTCCACGCAATTTATTCTTTATTTTAAGGAAAGTATAGAAATCATTAGGGCTTAGGTCGGGGCTGTACGGCGGATGGTCTAATAATTCTATGTTTTCTTGCTCTAAAAACTCTTTTGTTCTGTGTGCGGTGTGAGAACTCGCATTGTCGTGATGGAGGATGATGCGGCGGTTGCAGTTCTCTTTACGGAGTTCAGAAACGACCTGTGGCAAACAAATGCTAGCATACCATTCTGCATTAACCGTTCTTTGTCCCTCAAGAGGAATAGTCGTAACATGGCCGGTTTTGGAGACAAACGTGGCCACCATTTTTTTTTGCAACACTCCGTGAACGAACAATTTTTGTTGGCTTAAACTCATTTTCGAGCACCCAAACTCCTGACTGGTTTTTTGTTTCGGGTTCGTACGCGTATATCCAGCATTCGTCACCTGATACGATGTTGTATACAGCATTTGAGGATCCTGCGTGGAATCTTTCGAGAGTTCTGACGCACCAAGTAACGCGAGCCGCTTTTTGCTCTTCACAGAACGAATGCGGTATCCATAGGGAAAACAACTTTTTTACACCTAATTGTTCATGCAAGATTATTTGTATTTGACTCATGCCAATATCGTAAAGTTGCCTGAATTTCGCGGTATGTCACATGTCGATCTTTCTCAATCAGCTTACGCACAGCATCAACGTTTTCTTGGGTGACTGCAGTTTTTGGACGACCTTGACGGGATCATTACTGAGCTTGACACGTCCACGTTGAAATTCAGCAAACCAGCGATAAATTGTGGTTTTGGATAGGGCTTCATCACCAAATGCAGAAATCATCCGGTCAACACTGTTTTTGTGTTAAACCACTTCGAAAGTCATAATAAATCATCCCTCTTGAATTTTCTCGAGTCAATTCCATTTTCTCAACGACTAAACAAGTTTGACAAAACCTTGTGACAAGACCAAGAATCTTTTTTTAAATAAATAAATGGTATTCGATTTTTAAAACCAAGGAGTTTTCAATTAAAAATATTCTAATATGACAGGATCAGTGGAAATATTCCATTCCCGATACTTTTAGTGCAGCCTATGTAGGTGAAAGTTTAATTTGATAAAAACCAAGGTTTTCCAGGGTGATTTAGCTGTACCTACTTATATAAATGATTTTTTTATAAAACCAAAAATAGTACAAAAGGTGTGTAATCTCTGCATAAAAATTAAAAAAAAAATTATTTATACGTGATAGAGCCATGCTGCATCTATATTATGGTTGTAGCACGAATGGGTCGGCTCGACCGGGGAAGGACCACGCTCTCACAGAATACCAGCGTAAAATAGCAGCTTAACGCTGCTGTGTTTCGTATGGTGAGTGTAGAGTACCGGAGACCCTTTTTACTGGAAACGAGGCATTCCATCTTAGTCCTCACGGGTAACAACGCATCTGCATTTTGACTCTTAATCGAAGATAGATGTAGATGTCTATGGGCCACAGCGACCACTTACCATCAGGTGGACTGTATGCTCGTTTGTCACCCTTATACTATAAAAAAAAGTCACTTACTCTCAATTTCAAAGAAAACACGTAGAAAAACACATAGTTACCCACTAAAAACAAGTATCCTTCCGTTTGTAACTGATGTTTGAT